GTAAGGGATGATTCTTGTCATAAAAGTTATTAAGAGCGGGGCAAACACTCTGCTTTTTGAGAAAATCCACGAAACTTTGCAGTTGAACAGAAATTTTTCATCTACAAAACGTCTGGTTTTCAAAGTCCTGCCGAATGCTACTGAAGAGTATACTAACAATTCAATTATATATGATAATTAGTGCGTAAGGGGATGTTCTTGTTATCCATACTACTGAAATCGGAGCAGCTGGACTTATTTTTTAGAAAGGGACTCATTAGTTGAATGTGGAATTTTGTTGCATATTAAACTAGTTATGTTCCTAGTCCTGCCGATAGTTCTCGAACAAAACACTAGTTTGTGATAGTGTCAGCTTGTGTCTAATACCATTTGTTTTCCACGGAATTGCGAGAAATCGCGGTAGCCATGACAATTTTATTTTTAGTATGTATAGTACATTACTTAATCCAGGTGAACTCTACCAAATTGCATATTTTTTACATTACGTGGACGACAATGTCATTAGGCGTATGATACTTGACTTAGCATATGTAGGTACGTAAAAGTTGTGGTTGCTGAGTACTACAGCATTTCTCTCATGTGTCTTCTATTTTTAATAGGCTGATTTGTGTTTCGTAAGAAAAAGACATCAACGAAGTCAGATTTTTGCTTCATGTGAAAGACATCAACGAACGCATATGCGTTTTTGAACGACCCAGCTAAGAAATTGTTTCTTGAAAAAATCATTGTTCTCTTGGGGCAATACCGTCGAATGTGAGTATACTAGCGTATACTAACGATATACTAACGACCTGCGCAAGCCGTTTCCGGGTGCATTTGATAAAACATAGTGGGGTGGTCAACTTCACATGTGAAGTTGACCACCCCATTTTGATTTTTTTTTTAAATATATGTATCCGGGTATATTTACGACGAGTGTGAGCATACTTACATATACTTACGACATACTAACGATTGCCGTAAAAAGAACCACTAAAAGCCAAGTCAGATTTTTGCTTCATGTGAAAGACATCAACGAACGCAATGCGTTTTTGAACGACTCACCTAAGAAATTGTTTCTTGAAAAAAATCATTGTTCTCTTGGGGCAATACCGTCGAATGTGGGTATACTAGCGTATACTAACGATATACTAACGACCTGCGCAAGCCGTTTCCGGGTGCATTTGATAAAACATAGTGGGGTGGTCAACTTCACATGTGAAGTTGACCACCCCATTTTGATTTTTAAAAAAAAATATGTATCCGGGTATACTTACGACGAGTGTGAGCATACTTACGTATACTTACGACATACTAACGATTGCCGTAGAAAGAACCACTAAAAGCCGTTTTGGGGTGGCAGTGTGAAGTTGACCACCCCAAAAAGTTTTTAAAAAAAAATCATTGTTCCCCGAGTATACTTACGTCGAGAGTGGGCATACTAACGTATACTAACGATATACTAACGACCTGTATAGGTCGTTTCTGGGCACTCTTTAGGGGGTGGTCAACTTCACACGAGTCATCGACTATACGTGAGTTGATTTATTAGTTTGTCAGCAGAACCTCATTATAATCATCAACTCTTATGCGTCCCGATGCATGTCCCGTTTTTGATACGGGTGTGTTCTAAAGTTATAATACCTACCTCAAACTGTTCTCTTGGGGACTTTAGACGTTTTCGAAAAGTTTTCGTGAACCTTCTCCGATGTACAGGTGTGATTATTCAAAAGACTTGATGGTTCTAGCCTCGCTGTGAAAATCGAATCGAGACCTTTTACTTAAGAATGAAAGTTTTCCATTCTCCGAGGTTTTTTGATACAAAGTGACGACTATCAAGTCGCGTCGCCTATCACCATAGCAGTTGTTGTGCCACTCAGGGCTTTAAATGGCAAAGATTTGAAGGACACTGCACCTGCCACCCTGATGACAGTTGAAGTTGACAAGTATCATGTGCCTGTAAATTTCACCTGCATCGGAACGCGGAATGCTCACATCACTGTGACATGAGAAACAGGTAAGGTAGCAGTACCCGCTTGAACGGATTTTTTCACAAGGAGATCCCCTGCTTCTAAATTTTAGGTTATTGAAGCTTTTTCTATGTTTACTTGCACTGCTTTAATTAAGTGTTATATTGAATTTTAGAATGAAAGTATTGATGCGTGTTGACGAGGCTACAGATAAGTGAAAGTGTGTCATTATGGTAGTAAGTGAAAGGTTTAGATCGCTGGTCCGTCCTCATCCGTCGGTCCCTCAATGCTGAGGATAGTGAGCCGTTAATAAATCTTCACCACACCATACTGTCTTCAGCTAAGTCTAGTGCGACATTCACCGGTCTGCTACTCCGGTGAAAATGTATATGATAATTAAACTTTTCAAAATCAAAGCTCTTGTGGTTCTTCCACTTCACATTTAATTTAGGTACTTACACAAATGGAAACGGTATGTCACTATGCAATTTTCTACGTGTAGACGTGTCTGTGCGATGTACGGTTGTTTTTGTGGTTCGAAAACGTGAACAGAATTGGAATACGTCAATGTTGATTTTCGTGTCGATTGTCCTGTCACAGTTTGATATTTTGATACTGTAGCGTATATTCCAATACAGTTTTGAAATGAACAAGCTTTTTGTGCTTTTTTGCAAATAACTCACCAAATATCAGGATATGGAACAAATAAAATATGGAAAAAGTCGGTACCGACGAAAGTTTTTAAGATTCTTATAAAATTTTTAATCTTTAAACGCTTCAGAGCGCTTATTGCTCGAGCACCAATATCGTTGAGATTAATATGGTTCATGGTTATTAATAATGAACGCAGTATTTATTTTATTGTTATTTGTATGATATTTATGGTTTCTTTGCCAAAATACTCCGTTTGTTTGTGGTGTATTTGTTGTTGTATTTATTTATTGATTTCTATTTATTGATCAGTAATTGTAGATACACCGCCGTCTTTTTCTTGTGAGCTATATAAATACTTCCATCCAAGTGGGTTCTCTGGCAGAAATCGCTTAAAGCGATAAGATCGCCCATTGTATTACCGCTTATTTTAATTTAATTGTATTGTATTTGGTTCCTTTTTTGGTGTACAATAAAGAATTTTTGTGTTGCTTTGTATAATCCACTTGATTTCTATTCATACAAAGATCAAACAAAGTTGGACACGAACCAGAACCTGTTGACTGACCAATCAACGCAGTATTCTAAGTTGAGACTTTTCAAGGCTGGAGTTACAGACCGCTGGAGTGGATAGGCACAAGCATTCGTGAATTTTATATTAAAAAAAATACTGTTAGTTCTTAGAAGAGTTCATTATAACTTATAAATGGCAGTTTACTACATTGACACTTGAAAGGCCATGACCTTAAACCGGCCATGGTTATATTTTCAACGATTTATTCTATTACTTGTGTTATTGCGTCAATAATTATGTGAACGGGTGAGTAAAAATGCTGTAACATACTACAAAAAAGAATATTAGGACACTGGTGTGTATATTTAATATTTATTGTTCATTAAATCCTACAAAATGCCTTAACTTATTATACAATAAATAGAAAAATCAATAATAAATAAATAAATTCAAAATATGACTGGTTTTTCCGTTACAATAGTTATTAAATTATACTTCCTAATCCTTACTTCGAGATAAAGACAAATACGTTCCGGTATTGAAATCGATTCCAATTTTAGAACGGAAAAAAGCCGTGGTATCCTAACGGTTTCACCTACCGCCTCTCAAGCAGAGGAAGTGGGTTCGAATCCGTGTTCGCACCTCTGAGTTTCTAGGAATTTATGTAATGTACGAAATTTAATTTCATCATGAGTTTTCTGTGAAATAAAACATCGTGAAGAAACCTGCACCTCGCAGAAGGTCACAAAAAAAAAAAAAAGGTGGCGGACTATGGGCTAAGTCCTCGCTTGAGAGGAGACCCGTGCGCAGATGTGGGACGTATAAATAGGTTGATGATGATTCGAGTACCTTTAAATTACGCAACTCTTCTTCTTCTTCCTGGGGGCCTTTTTTTAAGTCAGGAAATCCTCATCGATATCCTCCGCCCGGGGGAGGCGAAGGGTTATTTTGGACTCCTACCGACTAAAACCTGACGGCGTTCCATCTTCTCACCATGTGCGGAAGGCACGGGGACGCTTACGCATTCTTCCGCGACTCCGGCGGCGATTGATCGGGCTGGGCGCCGAACCCCATCTCGCTTTTCGGGAAGAGTTCTTGCCTCCCCGTCAGCAATCTTGAGTGGCAGACGCGGAACACATACGCCGCCATCTCGCGTCCACCCGTAACGAGCGACGGACTCCCCTAAGACTGCCGCTTATGGATCCATGTCACGGGGGCTTTCGCCTCCCGTTACTCGCCTATGTCGGCAGCTGGAGAGCCATTAGCTCTCCTTCTGCGACCCACACTCCGACGGCGATCGGGTCAGGGGCTGAATCTTCCCTTTCCCTTTCCGCCGCCTCTTTCTTCACCACGACCTCATCGCAGAATGCCTGGGCTGCGTGCCACGACCTTTTGCTCTCAACCATTGAGCGAACTATGGTTGGGAGAGAAAGTTCGCTTGACACGGCGGCGACGAGTTCACCGCGTTGCTCAACCCATGCAGGACACTCCTCCAGCGTGTGCTGGGCCGTCTCTTCGAAGCAGCTGTCACAGTGGTGACACGCTGAAGTAGGCTCCCTTCCGGCGATTCGACACAGGTATATCCCGAAGCAACCATACCCCGAGAGCACCTGTGTCATGCGGAACGTAATGACGCCATACTTCCTGTCCAGCCACTCCGATAAGACTGGACGAACTGCCTCGATTGTTCGGAGACCAGCATAGGGTTGCGTCAGTCTCCGTCGCCACTCGTCGTGAAGAATGTTACGCAGCTCAGACCTCTTACTCTCAACCCCCTCGCGTGTTGGTCTGTGGTCCCAAAATTTGCGCTTCTTCACACCACACATAAGCTGCGGCGAGTGTTCTCACCTCCAAATCCCAAGGGGTAGACCCCGCCAGCAAGCAGGTCGCCTCGTAAGAAATTGTGCGGTACCCTCGCGAGACTCTAATTGCCAATTGCCCTTTGAGGCTTACGCAATAGGGCCACATTTCCGCCATTTAGGGCTTCGGCCCACACTGGGGCCCCATATAAATCCATAGAACGCACAATGCCCACATATAGCCGCCTGCAAGCAACGTTAGGTCCCCCGAGGTTCGGTAACAATCCAGCGAGTGCGGCCGTTGCTCGCAGCAACCTTGGCATCAAGAGTTGAAAGTGGGAATTCCTGGGGGCCTACCACAACCTCTTAAAACAATGTTACTTTAACCTTACAGTGACTTGTAATACCATAACGCGCTTAAAGTAAGCTTATTATAATGTTAAAACTGTGATGTCTTTTTTTTTTAACGCGCACACTCAACATAGCATTAGGGAAACCCTGTGTCGGGGGTGCCGTGGACACATACATAGACAACCACAAATTACACCCAAACGAGAAAAATAAATGTAGGTCATTCAAATATTTCTCCCGGCCCGGGAATCGAACCTGTGACCTCTGCGTGGCAGTCCGGCATAGTAACCGTTCGGCCACGGAGGCAGTTGGCAGCTTTGTCACAAGCATTCGTTCACTCATTTCTTACTGTGACGCGATTTTAACATTAATGCTTTAAGTTAGCAATCTTAAAATAGTTACACGGATGCAATGGAAACAATATTATTTTCGAATTTATTGTCTAAATATTGATTTGTAATGATTAAAAGTTAAGCTGAACTTATTTATTTACATAAATTTCTTCAACATTTTGTTTATTTTTTTATTTAATAGTACATAGGAAATCATTTCTCGTTAAATAAAAATACGCAATGTTTATTTTAATTTTGTAAAATTTTGACAGCGACATCTGTGTGGTCCTTGGCGACACTAACAGTTGACTATAATTCCAAATTCACAACGTCTTGATATACTCAGTTTGTGTTATTTATTTTTATTCATGAACATGCGGAAAAATAATTGAAAACAACGTAATTTGAATACATTTTATTATTATGTACTTTTCATTTAAAAAAAAATAAAAGTCTCTGAATGTAAATAACATTAAGTCCTACTTAAACATTACACTACAGAGATGGCACTATAGTTCATACAGCGTTATTTCTTTCTTATTTTTAGTAAGGATTAGACAATATTGGGAAATCATGCGTTCGTTCAATCACTTTAGTAAAAATACATTACTTGGTGGACAGGTTTGTCACGGTACGAATATGAGTTATCTTATAATAAACATACTTTAAGCTTACATTGAAATAAGATTGTTTTTGGAAAGGTTATGGTAGGCCCCTTGTCCCTTGGGACCTCGAAGCCGAGGTCCTGGCGGAGGTCCGCACCTACCGGCGGGGAATGAGGGACCGAGGCAAGCGACCCGCTCCCCAAGAGGTGGAGCGGGAGCGCCGCTTTGCGGCGCAGCGCATGCGGGACCGGTGGAAAGAGGGCTTGGCGGATCCCCCCTATGGCGCTCGTACCATAGAGGCGATCCGCCCTGTCCTCGTTGAGTGGGTAAACCGGTCCCTTAGGCCACTGTCGTACCACCTTGTGCAGGTGCTGACCGGAAACGGCTGCTTCGGTCACTACCTGCACAAGGTGGCGAGGAGGGAACCGTCCCCGTTGTGCCACGAGTGCGGCGCTGTGGATGACACTGCGCAGCACATCCTAGAGGTGTGCAGCCGGTGGGATGGGCAGCGCCGCACTCTGACGGGGACTGTAAGGCAGGACCTCTCGCTGCCGAGCGTGGATGCCGCCATGCTCGATAGCGAGGAGTCCTGGGAGGCGGTGGCCTCCTTTTGCGCAGAGGTTATGTCGCAAGGTCGCATGTCGTCTTACACACAATCCATCCATCTTTCCTTCGGCCTTCCTTTCCCCTTAACGTAACTATTATTGAGAAATACACTTGGTTTTGACCACCATGAAGTTGTAATTGATTAAAAAATCTTACAATACAAACAGAAATGGCTAAACTATACAGGTAGAAACCTGTTGAGTTTGACTACATCTCTCTAACAGAAATCTTTGATACTAAGACAATTTACAAACAACACTCAAACTTTGAGTACCTTTGCCGTTACAAGTTGGAGTAGGGATGGCGATTGTTTCGGTCCTGGAATCCATTTCAATTATAATCCAAACTCAAATTATAAATGCGAAATTAACTCCGTGTTTTAGATATGTTTTCACGCCTAAACTGCTAAACCAATTTCGATGAATTTTGGTATAGAGAAAGCTAGTCCTAGGAGAAGGACATTGGCTAGTTTTTGTTACAAAAACAAATCTAAAAAGAGGGTGAAATAGAGGTTGAAAGTTTGTATTGTTAAGAACGTATAATTTCTCAAGTAAGTAGTACAGTAAGCTAGTCGAAGTACACAGACAAAGTCCCAGGCACCAGCTGGTTTTGAATAACATCATACTTATACGACACGACTTTAATTTCTAAGTGTACGATTAGTGAAACGAACCTTTTGTTCGACTAAGCAAAAATGGCGAGTTAAGTAAGTTTTTCGTATTTACAAAAGGAACTTTGTCTAAGTTTTAGCAAGAAATTAAATTAAACTTTGTATTTACTTCGTAATTGCTTGCGTGACTTAGGTAAAGTTCGTGTTATAAATCTCAGCCTAAGAAACATTACATTTATCATTGTTAAATAACAATACCTCTCGCTAAGGCGTCACGCAAACGTGTGTCTTGTATTGGATGCACAGAATGATAAATACAGTAGAAGTGGTTAGTTATGATGCGTACGGTAAAGGAATGGAATGCTCTAGCTAGCTGCTAGCGTCTATGTCGGTATTCTACGTCTATATCTGTATTTCCCGAAAAGTACAATTTGGGGCTATTCAAGGGTTAGAGTGAATAGGCATTTTTTAGGCAAACGCGTCCCATCGTTGTTCACATCGTCGTTTAACATCAGGTGAGATTGTGACCAAGCGTGTGTCTATTATATATAAAAAATAGCGTCTGACGCGTACCAACTATAGATCTCGAAAGACCTACTTAAGCTCAGTCCGCCATTTTCGCTTGGTATGATATGGTTATGTCATTCTTTCACACAAAATTCTCTTAAATCGTATAAAAATCCCTTATTGTGTTGTTTTGAAGTGTTGTGAAGTGTAGAGAAAAATGATAGCTGCACCAAAAATATTACACGTAGTAGTATTTCAAGTCATCGGTAAGTCTTATTTTAATTAACCGACTTCAAAAAAGGAGGAGGTTCTCAATTCGACTGTATGTTCTTTTTTTGTATGTATGTTACGCGATAACTCCGGTATTTGTGAACCGATTTTCATGATTCTTTTTTTGTTGGAAAGGGGGTATTTCCATAGTGGTCCCATTTCATTTTGAAGAAAATCATCCATCTTTGAGGGTGGCTGTTCACGCATGAAGATTCATTTTTATAAATAGCGTCTAACTTTAATTTAGGAGTAATTTTAATGGTTGATTATGCTATTTCTCCAATTCAAGGCGTTTTTCTTTCAATATACTTTGAGTAGTGAGAACCAATTATTATTAGCTCCAGTGTCAAGTCCTGTATAGTGGCGAACTAGGCGATATTTCAATAAAACTTAGCAAATCGACGTAATTCCACGTACTTTTGAGGTCGTTTTTTTAGTACCCTGTATTGAGATTATTGATTTTAAATTTTCTGTTTATCTATTCGTTGAGATGTTAATCTTTCGTTGTAGTCCAGCTACTGGCCACAATATGGCAGCATGTTGAATAAAATTTCAATATAAAATCAAAACGAAACTTGCAATAAAGGTATTGAACTGTCAACGATTTAGCGACTGGGTGAAGTTTAAATTATATTGACAATCCAGAATTGGTTACATTTTTTCAAATTACAAACCATGACCAATCATTATTAAGATTTCATACTGTTTATCATTTTCGTTAGTGTGCGTTTTGGCGACATCCGTTCCGATAGTAATCGAGACCTATGTTTTTTTTCTTCCGTGATTGGATACAAGCAACCGGCAACTAGAAGCGAATATTCCTAACCTAACATGAACATTGAAGAAAATACACGACCCTAGACAACGTGTTAAGTCCGCAATCTGCATTGGTTTATCGTGGCGGATTATGACCTATACCTAATATAATAGGTACGACGACGATGATGTAAGGTACACGAGGCTGTCCTTCCAGGAGGCTATAATGTTATGCCGTGTTCGTCCATGTTGCCTAATAGGGGTTGGACCTTGTTAAAAGCAGAGGTAAAGGATAGTTTTAGGATATCAAGTTGTAATATATACTCGCAGATGAGAATAATCTTGCAAAATTACTCCAACTATTTGTGCTTTTCAATTTCGAAGATATTATTTACTTTGATCCCAGTTTTACATTGACTAATCAACTGTCGTTGAATCAACTGCACCCCACTTATACGTTCCATTGCTGAGCACGGGTCTCCTCTTAGAAGAGTGTTTAGGCCATAGTTCGCCACCCTCATTTTTTTTCCCAATGGGTATTTGTTTCAGGAGCCGTAGAGCTCCTTGTGAAAGGGTTAGTCCAGGGAAGTACAGCCACCTTACCGCCAAACAGTAATGCTCGCTTAGTTACTATATTAAATATTAAATTTATAATAATTATTTTTTGTCCTGTTTCTTTGTTTTATCTTTTTTTATTTTGCGAGTTGGTTTTTTAAATTTCATGCTTGCCACACCCGTAAGATTCCACCAACACGTTAACACTGACACACAACTACACTAAAAGTTATACCACGAATTACACATTGCTTTTTGCTGTTGATGCACCGCACCGCGTTACCCTCTAGGCGATAACTGAAAATCAGTGCGTTGCGGCAACGCAACACCCGCACTGAGATATGGCCTGTTTGCTGCAGCACTCACAACTTGCTTTTAATTAAGTAGCAGATTTATGTTGTTTTGTACGTATATATATTTGATTTCATACCTTTT